GCCTCAAGCTATTCCCCTGGGTAGAGTACTATGGCTTCACTGCTCACAGCAACCTCCAACTCCTGGGCTCAAGCGAGTCTCCTGCCTCCGCCTCTCAAGTAGCTGGGACCACAGGTGCCTGCCACCATGCCTGACTATTTTTTGGTTGCAGCCATCATTGTTATTTGGTGGGCCCGGGCTGGATTTGAACCCGCCACCTTAGGTGTATGTGGCTGGCGCCTTAGCCGCTTGAGCCATAGACGCCGAGCCGATCCCTGGTTTTCTATTAGCCTTCATGACTTTCAGGACACCACTCCTAAATCTCTTTCTGCCTTTCTGGCTATTCTTTTTCGGTCTGTTCGCTAGTTCCTCTTTATCATCCTGACAGCTGAGTTTTGGGAGCACCCTAGAACTCAGTTCTTGCTCTTTTCTATCTACATTCGTTACCCCTAAATAATTTCTTTCTGTCTTGTGGTTTTAATTACTTGTGTATACTGATAATTCCCAAATTTGCATCTCTAGCCTGGCCATCTTCTCTGAACTCTAGATGGTACAGAGAAGGTGCCCCTCTACTTGGCACCTGTTTGGATGTCTCAGAGCCTTCTCAGATTTCACATTTGCCACCAAATAAGTTTCTTTTAGGTTTTCATCTGAAGTAATTAGAACCCTATTTTCTTACACCCCATATCTGATCCTGTAATAAATCATTTCAGGTCTGCCTTCACTGTCAATCTAGATTCTCTCACTTCTCATGACCCTCTTTTACCACACATGTCCAGGGCATCATCATCTCTTACCCAACTGCTGTAAAGCACCCCAACTTGGCCTTCTTCTGCCCTGTTTCTCTGTATTCTCTTCTCATCGTTGCAGCCACAGGGATCCTGTTAAAATGTTAGCCTCTGCTGAAAACTCTCTAGTGGCTTCTATTGTCTGATATGATGTGAAAACTGAAACTCTTGTTGTTTCTCCCACCTCCTTTCCTACCTCCCCTTTCTTTCACTCTGCCCTCGACAGAGCACAGTTCTCTGCCTGCTCCCGCAAACACAAACTGCCCCTGCAGTGCCTTTGTGCATGTCCTTCCTGCACTTGGCCAGTTCAAGTCACTTCAGTGAAGCCTTCCCTGGCAACTCGAGAAATTAAACGTACTTCCACCCATGCCCCTACTCGTCATATTCTGCTTCCTTGCCTTAATTTTTCTTAGCACTTAACACCGTGTAATGTATAATTTTGTTTATGTTTCATGCTCTTAGAATGTAAGCTTCTTGAGTACAGAGATTTTTGTCTATAGTAGAATAATGTCTAGAACATAGTAGAGTAAATAAATATGTATAAAATGTTAAATGATATTTCCCCATTAAGACGGCACTGTTTTGCTTTTTTATATAAGAGTGAAGTATGTATTTTTACCTGCAATCTCTCTGTTATTGAGCTTTTAAAATAAAAATAATGCTGGGTGGTACCTGTGGGTCAATGGGTAGGGTGCCAGCCCTGTATACTGAGGGTGGCGGATTCGAACCCCACCCCTGCCAAACTGCAACAAGAAAACAGCTGGGAGTTGTGACTGGTGCCTGTAGTCCTAGCTACTCAGGAGGCTAAGGCAAGAGAATCATCTAAGCCCAGGAGTTGGAGGTTGCTGTGAGCTGTGACATCACGGCACTCTACTGAGGATGACAAAGTGAGAATCTGTCTCTAAAAAATACAAATAAAAATAATGC